TTAATCGCCCTCCTTCAGGCCAGACCACATGGTATTCCTGCCAGCTCTAATATATAATTTGATCTGTTTTGATCTTTCACCAAATTCAGAATTTTTTGTGCTGCAGGTTTTTGAGGCAAGCTTCATCAGTGCATATTTTGTGTTGAGATCCACAAGGGATTTGAAACGGCTATGCTTATGGGGAGAGAATGGAAGAGGCTTTAAATTCTCCCTTTTTGGTGTGAACAATTGTGAGAGCAGCCAACTTCCCCAGTTTGTCCGCTTCAAGTCGGTAGCGGACTGGGCTGTAGTCGGCTGACTTCATGCTTCTTTGCTCCTGTACATTTTCTGTAATACCTTGCAACATTGCAATTTTGTCATCAAGCTTTTCTGTTAACAGTTCAGTGAGATGAGTGCGGTAGCTTAACCTCCTTCAGAATCACTTGTTTTGATCTACCTGGTACTATAACTTCATGCAAACTTACCTGGATCAGTTGCTTTTTTTGTTTGTTGTTGTTTTTTGAAAGTTAGCCTTCAGAACCGTAAGGTTTAGAGTCTATATTAAAACTCTGCTCCAGAGTGTTTTTGTTTTGTGGAGAATTGAACGTGTAACAGGCCCCATGTTAAGATCAATGCTGTAAGTGCTCTTTCTGAGAAGATGCATTACTGTGGCAGTAACAACAGCTCCTGTTATGTTAACAAGTAACTCTAGCTGGAGATATTAACCATCTTGGCCAAATTCTAGCATTACCTAATGTATACAAATTTCTTGTTCAGTTGCAGATGGATAATGTCCTTTCATTATGGATACACAGTATGTATGTCCATGACTAAATCTCAGTCAGATTACAAATGGTTATATTCAATTTGTACATTGCTTTAGGTTCCTGTTCTGTATTCAGGATGCTATGTCAGTTATCTTTTATAAGGTTGAATTGTCTAGAGCATTCTAATTTTAAGCTGAAATAACTTATATTTCTCATAGAGTATGCTTCTTGCATTTGCAGAGTCCCATAAACTTCTGTGGAATCGTTAGGTTTTCCAAAAGCAACGGGGTGTCATTACTCCTCACTAATGATAAATATATGAATGGTTTACAGTGATTCAAATATTCATTTTCTCTCTTCCCTTTTATATATTTAGGCCCTGGATTCAGGCTTCACAATATTCTGTATTCCAAAAGGAATACTCTTTGTACCTTCAGGAGCAAGCACACGTTCCATTACCCTCCTAATAAAGCTAGTGGTCTATGATTGTGTTTTAGAAAATGGATAGAAATGTTTTCATAGAGCCTGTAAGCATCCTGAACAAAGCTTTTGGGATTTAAATCCTCATCTGTGGTGTTTGCAACAATTGTATCAGTGCGGTTGAATCAAAGTGAAATTGGCTGTCTCTGGCTATCCAGACTAAAGCAGTGAAATGCAATAAATTGGTTTATGTACTGAAAAATAAAATAGGAAGTATTTTTTAAACAGTGTTGGACAAGCGGACAGGGAACCTATTTTTAAAATAACTTAGCCCTCGCCTGCATCTGTGCTAGTTTTGATTCCTAAGCAAAATTCGTAAGTAGTGCTCTGAATGTTTGAGTGGATTTGATGAGGCTAATGCTGAGACTGAACGGAAAGGGGCTCTGTATTTAAACTAAATCTAGATGAGTCTTTTTTTCTCAGCAGACAAGTCCAGTTGAACTAGAAAATATTTCTAATGACTACCAGGATTTGAACTCAAAATGGACTTGCTGACCAGTTATTTATTTGTATGCGGTGAAGAGCTGAATTCCAATTTGAAAATCCTAAACAGTAGTTGCAAAGTAAGGAAGTCATTGCTGGAGTGTGCACGTTAGAAATGTCTTTCCCGTTATTATGTGTAGTCGCATTTTAAGTTATCTACATTAACATGTTAAGTATAACGTCTTCCATGCTATGGACAGTTGTATCCATATTATTTTTCCTTTTTTTCCCTTACCTTACCCATCTTTAGGTAGGGTAATCCAGAATTGCACTCTGAACTGTAGTAAAGCTGCAGTGGGCTAATGATGAAATCCAGTATATAAGGCTGCAAAATTAAGCCTTGAATCTTGGGAGTGCCAGAATATTCCTTCAGTCCACTTATGGACATCTAACATTTTCAAGTTCATGATAACATGCTTTCCACTAGGGTATTGCCTCTTTCAATGAATGGCTAGTTATTCAGTATTTTCTTTCCAGCCTGTGACATTGGGCTTTAGTATATACCATTAAGGTTCTGCTGGCAGTAAAGTTGTTTTCCTTATGAGCATGTCCCTAGTGGTGTGAATTAATGTCAACTCTGCCCCTATGAAATTTAAGATGCTGCTATTCCCATTTTATAGAGGCAGAAGCCACAACTGTAGCTTAATGGACTGGCCAATGCCAACATCTTGAGGGATAGCCAGCACGGGTTTGTTGCGGGTAGGTCTTGCTTGACCGATCTCATTTCCTTTTACGACCAGGTGACCTATCACCTGGACAAGGGAGAAGAGATTGATGTCATATATCTTGACTTCAAAAAAGCCTTCGATCTGGTCTCCAATGATCACTTCTTGGTGAAACTGGCCAGTTGTGGCCTTCGGTCCACTACAATCCAGTGGCTGGGAAACTGGCTCCGTGGTTGGACCCAGAGGGTGGTAATTGATGGAAGTCAATCGTCATGGTGCCCTGTGACCAGTGGGGTCCCCCAGGGCTCTGTCCTTGGATCCATATTATTCAATATCTTCATTAATGATGTGGACATCGAAGTCGGAAGTGGACTGGCCAAGTTCGCCGATGACACCAAACTTTGGGGCAAAGCATTCACACCTGAAGACAGGAGGGCGATCCAAGCTGACCTGGACAGGGTCAGCAAATGGGCGGACAAGAACCTGATGGTGTTTAACACTGAAAAATGCAAGGTTCTCCACCTTGGGAGGAAAAACCACAGCATCCTTATAGGCTCAGGAGTGCTATGCTGGTTAGTACTACGGAGGAAAGAGACTTGGGGGTCGTCATTGACCACAAGATGAACATGAGCCTGCAGTGCAATGCTGTGGCTAGTAAAGTGACCAAAACGCTGGCTTGCATCCATAGATGCTTCTTGAGTGAATCCTGGGATGTCATTCTTCCCTTGTACTCGGCCTTGGTGAGGCTGTAGCTGGAGTACTGCGTCTAGTTTTGGGCCCCACAATTCAAAAAGGATGTGGAGAAGCTTGAGAGAGTCCAGAGAAGAGCCACGCGCATGATCAGAGGTCAGGAAAACAGACCTTACAATGACAGGCTGAGAGCTATGGGGCTCTTTAGCCTGGAAAAGCGCAGGCTCAGGAGTGATCTGATAGCCACCTATAAGTTTATCAGGGGTGACCATCAGTATCTGGGGGAACGTTTGTTCACCAGAGCGCCCCAAGGGATGACGAGGTCGAACGGTTATAAACTCCTGCAAAATTGTTTCAAGCTGGACATAAGGAAGAACTTCTTTACTGTCCGAGCCCCCAAAGTCTGGAATAGCTTGCCATCGGAGGTGGTTCAAGCACCTGCATTGAACACCTTCAAGAGAAAATTGGATGCTTATCTTGCTGGGATCCTACGACCCCAGCTGACTTCCTGCCCTTCAGGTGGGGGGCTGGACTCGATGATCTTCCGAGGTCCCTTCCAGCCCTAATGTCTATGAAATTGTCACGTCTCAAGTAAGGCATTTCAGATTAGTGGACACAGCTATGCCTTGCACTTTCCAGAATACTTAATGTTTTCACTGCTCAACTCCTGTTTAGTTTAGCTGGAGTTGAAAGTGCACAGGACTCATCAATAGTAGTTTTCCATTAGGCACTTAAAATGAGGAATCCCCAGTTAGTAGTTGACCAAAGAATTTGATTTGAATAACTTGCTGAACATCACATAGGGGCTCTGCAGCAGTAATGTTCAGGTGTCTTAAATAGTAGATTCGTGAAGTTTCTTGCTTCATCTACTACATGCCTTTCTCAGTTGAGATGAGTGTCCTATAGGCAATGGTCTTATGCATTTGCAGAAAAAGGAAGAAAAGGATCATAGCGATGGGTAGAAGTACATGGTTGTGTAGTTAGACTTCCATGCTGCTTATGTACAAGTGGCCAAATAATGATTACATGGGCAAGGCTTCTGATCCTAGGGTTCATCTTCTGGGTTGGAGCTTAAGTGGACAACATAGGTTCCTGCTGCTTGCACTAGCGGACTGACAGATAGCAATCCACCATTGCACAAGCTATGGGCAGACGTGTCACTCCTTGCTTTAAACATGTTTGTTTTTAAAAAGAAGAGAGGGGTGTTTGCAGTTCAGGAGCATGTAGGAACTGTTATTCTATTTATGTTGTACTGGTGTAAATGGAGTTAAACTTTTTAAACCAGTTTCGTTTTAAATTTTACCTTAGATTTAATTTGCTTACATCTATGTACTCCTAGAGAAGCATATCTTTTATCTGTCTACACCTGTGCTTTTGCCCATGGATTTCATGGCTATTTGCTGTACAGGAGCACAGACTCGGGAGTTCTGGGTTCAGTTTTAGAGGAATTAGATCATGTGGGGTCTCTGCCCTTTTCTGCCCCTCAGGTTTTTGACTTCTGTCCCTGCTGCTTTCCACTGGATGGTTTCTCCAATAGCCTATAAACTTTTTCCTTGCTCTTCTATTCTAGACAGGTTGTTCCTTCTTTTTTCTACTTGGGTGCAGCAACAGGATTACTGAGAGTACAGGAGAGAGAGCTGGTTTATTGGTTGCTTCAGCTATTCCAAGAATGAGATTATAGTTGTGGGGAGGATAGGGAGATAACAAAGACAACTGAACTTGGTTAACTGAAAATAGGGTTTCATGGTTGCCAAACACTTTCCAGTATAAGCTGTAAGCAGTATTGTAGTCAGATAAAGTATGTCGGTGGGAATATTGGGTGAGGTAAAACAGAGTCTAGCAAGTTGTAGCCAATACATTTTAGCCAATAGTCAAGTAATTGCAATTTTATTCACTTACCTTGCATAAGTTTTAACTTTTTAATTGTGTTCTGCAGGCCAGAAGCGAGCCCCTAAACGGGGAGACCAGCAAGGATGGAATGATAATAGGGGAGCCGAAATAAAACAAGAAAAAACTGAATGGAGACCTTCTTTCAGGGAATACCGTCCCTATGACGTGGAAAGACAAACAGAATTCTCAGTGGAAAAGTATGTTCCATTTTATGGAATGACAAGGTGTTCTTCAAGGGGCTGAGTATTCTGAAAGTCCCTTATAGGCACTGCTTGGTTTAGACATCAAGATTACAGTAAGGACTGTAGATTTAGACAGACTACAAAAGTGGGCAGATGAGAATAGGATGGGGTTCAACGTAGACAAATGCAGGGTGCTGCACCTTGGGAGAAGGAATCCACAGCATACATACAGGCTGGGTGAGTTCCCTTCTTGAAAGCACAGAGGTGGCAAGGGATATTGGAGTCATTATTGACTCCAAGATGAACATGAGCCACCAATGCCAGACCGCAGCCAGCAAGGCCAGCCATACCTTGTCAAGCATCCAAAGCTGCATCTCAAGCTGGTCCAGAGAGGTGATACTCCCCCTCTGTGACTTTGGTCAGACTGCAGTTGGAGTACTGTGTCCAGTACTGGGTGCCGCACTTCAAAAGGGATGTGGCCAGCCTGGAGAGGGTTCAGAGGAGGGCCACCTGCTTGGTGAGAGGGCAGCAGGGCAGGCTGTATGAGGAGAGACTGAGGGACCTGAACCTGTTCAGCCTCAGCAAGAGGAGGCTGAGGGGGGACCTGGTGGCTGCCTACAAACTCATCAGGGGAGATCAACAGCAAAAATAGGCAGAGCCCTTTTCTCCCCAGCACCACCTGGGGTGACAAGGAACAATGGTCATAAGCTGATGGAGAATAGGTTTAGGTTAGAGATCAGAAGGCAATATTTTAGTTAGGGTGGCCAAAATCTGGAACCAACTTCCTAGGGAAGTGGTCCTTGCCCCTACCTTGGGGAAATTCAAGAGGAGGTTGGATGATCACCTGTCTGGGGTCTTGTGAACCCAGCATTCATTCCTGCCTGTGGCAGGGGGTCTGGCTAGATGATCTGTTCAGGTCCCTCCTGACCCTAGCTATTATGAAACTTTGACTACAGATTTAAATTACAAGAAAGCTCAGACCCTACAACACAACTGTTCTGCATCCCCTAGTTTCTTTGATCATGGGATATATGGTAGTGGTGTGGGGGGAGAGGGTTGAGGACTTATGCTATCCCATATTAGCAAATTTATTTTAAAAATTGGCTGTTTCTTATGCTGTCTACTTTCTGCCAGTGAACACAAGCTGTTCTGTTCCAGTCTATATGTATAAAGACTGACTGAAGTTTCTAACACCTTTGAGACTGAAATTGTCTTTTTATGATAGAAATTTGCATGCATGTTTTTAAGATAGCCTAAGATGAAAATGGAAAAAAAAAGTAGGGTTTATTATTACCTATCAAAATATGAAGGTTTTTGGTACATCTAGAGAAATCGGTTCTAAAATGGTTTTACCCTTAAAGAACAAAGCAAATGGGTAAAACTAAGTTGCAGCTGGAACAAAGGAATGCAGTTGTATGCTTCTGCTCATGTTCAGTTTCCTGGCCGTAAAGTTGACGAAGTGTTGTGGGGCCATATGAGAGGTCTGTTAGTTAAGGTATAATCTTAAAAAAACAAAAACAAACAAACAAAAAATCTGGTAATTTTAATTTGGAAATCAAGTTGCCCTATCACAGTGACTACTGTATTCATGTCACCACAGTTTTAGTTTTTAATTCTTCAGTAGGAATAGCTTGACTTGTCGTCTTCTTTCAGGCCAGTAGACCGATTTGACCGGGAAAGGCCAATGCGAGGACGTGGGGGAGGAAGAGGTGGCATGCGAAGCAGAGGAAGAGGTGGCGGAATAAATCGAAGCTTTGATGGTTTTGACCAAAGAGGGAAGCGGGAATTCGAACGGCAAAGTGGGAGTGATAAAACGTAGGTGCTTTTTATCTCTATTGGTGTCAGCTAGTGTATTGGAAACAGTTGTTTGAAATATACCCAAAATAATGATATCTTTGGGGTGAAATGGGTGTCATCAGATTCTTGTTTTTTAGTTTGCATCAATAAGAGAGGAAGTTCTTTCAGTATTAAAAAGAATGCTGTTTCTGTCTCTCTAGAGGAATCAGAGCAGAAGACAAAAGGGGTGGAAGTGGAACGCGCAACTGGGGAACAGTTAAAGATGATCTGAGGTACAATGCGGGTTTGTGCCTGTTCCAGATTATGACACTTTCCATAAAGTAATAGACTTGGTCTGGTCCCACTTCTCAGTAATTCATGCTTTGTGTCATTCCCTCTGTTACGTTGAACTTGCCCATAAAAAACACTGAAGAGCCTGCTTTTCTGTTTGCTGAGACTGTAGGTCCTAGCCTAAAGGAGAATGTCCCAAAATTGCTTGCCATGGCGAAATAGTCTCTTGACTAGAGTGATATATGTAGTGTTCTTTTTAGTGCCCTAGTAAATAGGGTGCTGGATATTGTCTAGAAAAATACATTCTTATGAAAATTATGTACAATGTTAAAGTAGCATAGAGCTTTTAGGAAAGGTATCTTTATCTAAATCAGTGGTCCTCAACCTCAATAGATTCCAAGCACCCCTCAGAAAATGCTGTCTCAGCTTTCACTTGTTATTTTTTGACTGTAGAAAAATGTTGTTGCAAAGAACTAGAAGATCACAACAGGTCCGTGTTTTAGATGTTATGAATTCTTATTTATTCCTATTCTTCTGGCCTTTTCTTTTGAATCATGTAGGTGTGTGTGCATACCTAACAATATTGCATCACGCCCTTCAGAGGATCTCACCCTGGCTGATAATCACTCATTTAAATCTATTGTTTGGGATCTCTTTCTGCCTTTAAAACAAGCCTTGTTTTTCATTCTTTCATGTGGTTCCTTTGAAATTGTGATGCAATTTCGAGACATAAATAAGAATTTTCGTGCTACGGAGAGGGGAGTTAGGTGTTGAGCGCTGCAGGTCAGGGGAGGGGTTTTGAGTACTTTTCCCCTCGTACAGGGGCTGCTGCCCAAAGTGCCTGGAGGATGTCTTTCTGGCACCTCTACATTGATACCTGGGGCCGCTGGCCTATTTGACTACTGGCTATTTCAGCTAAACTTTATTGTTGTGAGTGGATATGTTGACTCTCCCCAGCAACTTCTGTCCAGAAGAGAGTACAGGATTAAGTTGCTTACTTAAGTCCTCTTGAGTTGATTTACGGTGGTGTGGGGTAGTGAAACTCTGGGGTACAGCAGGCCTATTTTACTCCTATTGATTTCTCATGAGCAACTTGCTACATTTTTGCATATAACCAGCTTTGTTAGATTTATTAAAACATGATTTTTTCAGGCTAACTTGAAATAAGATTTTCAAGGATCAAGTACAGGAGAGAAAATAGTGTTCGTTTTTTTTTTTAATTTATAATAAATTGGAAGGTGTTTCTAAAACACTTAAAAAAAAAAAAAAAAAATCCAAAATATTCGGATATCCAATTCCATTGAAAGCTTAAAAAGCCAATAATAAGGGAAGCTAGGTATGTGAAACAACACCCAAATGGCTTTCTGTACTTCTAGCTACTACTTTCTCATAAAACATGGGAAATACCCCATGAAGTCTAAAAATCAAAATTATCTAGGACAATACTTGTTTGTTTGTTTTTTGTTTGGTAGTACACCACCAGTTTGTAATATGGTTTTCCAAAAGAAGTTTAGACAGACGACTTCATGGAATTAATGAAAACTGTATAAAGGTCAAGAATATTATTTGCAGTTATAGTAGTGTGTTGATTCTTATCTGGCTATACATTTTTTTTTCAATGCTTTCTATTTTAATACATTGTTAGGCATAATTAAGATAAATATTGCTCCAATGAAGTGTTTGCTTACATGATGAATGAGTAAAATAGCATGTATATGCACATTGCACCCACACACCCTGCAACCCTAGTGCTACTGTTACTTTTGCTTTGAATAAGAACTGATACTAAAGCTACAGAAAATATGCTCTGTGGTAATTGTCTAACCATGAAATTAATGTTGGCCTAACATAGAACTGTAGAATAATATAGCATGGTGATTTTAGATTTGATCATTCTGGATTTTTTTGTCTTAGTCTTAACAAGTATGCTTTTTGTTTCCACTCTTTCTAGGGTAGTACTTTCCAGAGACAGGATTTCCACTGTTTGTCATTATGTAGACAAGTCTTATCTAGCTTACTACATCAAACTGGTCTCCTTTAATTTTCTTGGGTGATCAGTCAGTTTGTAAAATCTTCTGGTAGCAGCCCCCATGGAATTCTGCTCTGAGTTTGTCAAAGAATATGAAGATAGGGATATTTGTAAGGGAAGTAATATGTTGATGTGTAAGGCTTTTTTTTCCCCCAATATAAACAACTGGGTTTCTTGCTGTCTTATAGTGAGATGGAACAGACTGCCCCCATGGAAGAGACTGTGGAAACAGTGGAACAACAAGGAGCACCTGAAGGAGAATCTGTGAACAAGTATAGTCTGATTTGCATTTTAGAAATAAGATGTTCAAACAAAACTGTGCATTGGTTGTAATATTGGCTTGTAAGGAGTCAACCTAAGGGATGTCTTTACTGGCTTGCCAGGATTTCTGATGCTCTATAAACACACCAGAAATTACACACTTTCTCTTATATTGCCTGCAGAACGGGGTCCTTATCTCAACCGGGGCCTTTAGGTATTATCTTCCATACAAATATTGGAGAAACAACTTCCAAAGTAGTGGCAGTATCGGTCATATATATAAATAAATTCCTATAGCTTCTTGTAAACTTCCATTTTTAATTAAATAGTGTTCCCTAAACTTAATTTTGTGAGGACTGTAAACGGCATGCTACATGTTGCTGTTATAATTTAAGATTTAGTGCAGCACAGTCACTTTACTCTGTGGCTTCACAGAGTGAAGGACTACTTTACAAGCAGGCAGGTAAATCAGGGAATTCCCTCCATATCAGTTAGTTGTTATTTAAGGAGATCCGTAAAGGAAATGTTTCTCTAGACCTGCCTGTAAGTTCATAGTTAGCCTTCCTCTTGCACCCCATTTAAAACCAACAAAAAATCTCTACTGCTTAAATATATTTCTTAAAACGAAGATAAATGGAGTCTGTCCCCTGCTCCTGTTTGGTGTCAAGGTGTGAGAACTGAGAAGTCTTGCTTCAGAAACCTGTGATTTGCCCCGGATTTTGGCTAGACTTTTTGTTTAAAACATGTCAAACTTAAACACTAGCAAATAACCTGTAGTTAAGGACTTGTGATAGGAAAGTAAGGATCCAACCAGCTCTTACCTTTTGAGTTTAGGAAGAAGTTTTCTAACAATTTAACTTTCTCCTTTGGCTGACTTTGAGGTGCAGATATAGTTATCTAGTTATACAGTACTTGGATAACTACAACTCCAAATTTTAAAATTAAAACTTTAAATATATAATTTTAGAACTTGGAGTTATAGTTGTTTAAGTTGCCAGTTGCTTCACATCACTTGCACATGCATGTTTTTTTTACAAAGACGTTCACCTACAACTTCAAGTATAACATTTTCTGACTTTAAACCAATCGATTAGCATGTATAGATTAAACTGACTTAAAGTAATGGTGCAGGAGGGGCTGAGAGAGGGTTTTTCTCTAAACTAAATTAAGGTTGTTGAATTTCCAGAAACTTAATGTGCGTGTATAGGCAATAAAACAACTCTTACAATGGGCGGGCACCATACCGGTATAATCTAACAAAATAGCAATTCAGTGCCTTCAGACTTGTCTAGTGGCACAAGTCATTTCAGAGACTTGCATCGGTTTCCACTCTAGAAGCAGAAATCAAATCCAGCTGTTGTGGCTCTTTGTAATTTGTGTTCTGACATCAGTTTCTATAGAACATAAACATGAAAAGTATATCCAACAGCAGCAGGCAGAGGCTTTTGCCTGAGTCTGCTAGTTGCTTCTTGACTATAAAGAATGATTAAATCCACAAGTTTATCGCTTTGGTGCCATTTGAGACTATTTGGCTATAGTGCAGATGAAATTGTTTTGCAGACAGGATGACTAGAAACTTTTCCTTCTAAATGAAAGTTCAGATGTTGGAGACATGCAAAAATGCGCAGTGTATGTACAGGTTTTGTGAATGACTTTTATATAGTATCTCAGATTTAAAAAAATGATTTCTACCCTAAGACCCCAGAGCTGGAGCTTTTGTTGCAGCTGCCTAAGGGTTGAAAAATGACAACATAGTGATGTGACACCTACAGAGTCTAGGTGTGGGGAATCAAATCAATAAATTCTATTCCCAACATAACACCTTGCTGAAAGTCTGACTGGAACTGCATTTTTAATTGATAATTTTTGCTGTTTCAAAGCATTCTAAACAACAATTACCTGTTCTGGGTTCCTTTAAAATGATCTAGTTTTTGGGATGCTTGTGTGCCCGGTGTGCTTGCTGTTTTGTGGCAGGTGAGGTAGCACAGCTGACCCCAGTTCTGCTTTTGCTTTGTTAAATGGGTTGGGGAAAGGTTGTGTCAAGGCTCTTTTGACTCTTGAATACAGCTATTTTTGTGATTCCAGTGACTTTTTCATGACTGCTTGTTTTCACACATTACCTGGAAGATCCATTTTAGTCATTTCCTCACCTCCTCAATGTATAATCACCAGTCCTTTAAAACAAGCTAGTTGTAATTTTTCGATAGTTGCACCATTTACTTTCCTGGGCTTGAATTTGATAACCTGGGAAATCTTAACAGCATTTCTCTGCAAGCTTGTGTAAACTTGTCTGTTGTCATCCCTAAAACCTTGTCAATGTTGCTGTTAAATTTCCATTTGCAAATGTTGCTAGGAAACCAGTTAATCTGGTATTTAGTGTACCTTATCTTAGTTCAGTTTTGCCTATACCTCAAAATTGTTTGGTCTATTTAGTACTTTCTTTCTACTGTTTTCTTAAGCCTCCTAATTTTGTTCATTTTATTAATGTGTATATTATGTTTTGTGCTACAGCTAGGTTAAAATATGAATAAATATTGGTCATTTTGTAATCCTGCTTTTATAATTTGGAAATATTTCTGTTGGGAATCTTCAAAATTCATTTTTAGACTGATGCTTTCTGGTATAAAAATGATTTAATTATTTACAAGTTCCTCTCCCTGTTTGTTGCTACCCTTGCTATTTTATTAGTATTTATACCTGGTATTGGATCTGCCCTCCAGCTGTCTTCTGGCATCTAATCAGTTTTCAATTAAGTATTGTGCCAGTATATGTGCTCCTAGCCATTCTTTAGGAAAACTTCAATTCACATGTGTTGGCTCAGTGATCCATTTGACTACCCTTTAATCATTATACGAAGTTAATCAGTAGAATTGACTGAATCTTGTAGGATTTATTTTTTTTTAACCATTTCTCATTCTTTTGCTAAATTGGTAGTGTGGAATGTCTCAGATCTCAAGCTGGTTACAGTTTGTTTCTTGGCATCTTGATTAACCTCCTTTTTTTTTTTTTTTTCAGCATCTGGCAAATTTCTTTTAGCATTATACTTTGGCCCTTGAATGTAGTTGCTGGGACTCTTTGAATTGGACTCATCAACTAGCTGCCCAGTACAAATTGAATCTCTGCAATGGAAGATAAATATCTCCTGCTAGTATAAGATTGTTTTTTAAGTCTTTACTTAACAGTGTTTTAAGGCATCTCCCTGGCTTGTTTGTCACTAGCAAGTTACTAATGCAGCCATACTGGATGTAGTTCCTTTCCCAGCTCTACATTTTGTATGTTTCATCTTGAAAAGGCTGCTCAGAATTAGAAAGAAAGATGTTCTAAATACCTTAATACAAAGTAAAAAGGTTAAAAAACCTTAACCACACAAAGCTCCAGAGCACTATGAACACATTTGAAAGAGAGTAATAGGAGCCATTCTAGAAACTTAAATATATCCAGAAATACCATAACTGAGTTGCAACTTTCTATGTAATTGGTTGTGTTGATAGGCTTTAATTAGGGGCTTGAACACTGTGCAGTATCTCTTTATTTCACTGCCTATTAGCAAAGGAACTTATAAACTTGGGTAACAACAACATGCAACAACTGGATAGAACAAACCAATAATGGTGAAGGATGGGAAGATGACTTAATATACTATATACTTACCCAAATCCCTTTTGAATTTGACAACAACCCCCCCCCCATAATTAGATTCTATACATGAAAAACATTATAAATTTGTTATAATTTTCCATGTAGAGAATGTGTTTTGTTAGGGGGTTACCTTTTTGTAAATTTGCTATCCCCTCCACCCTGTTCCCTACACTGCTGTGGTGTGGTAGGCAAGGAGGCAGACCTCTGACCCTTGCTGCATGTCCCCTCCATCCCTGGCCTCACCTTCTCCTTCTGCAGAAACTCTGCTCCTGGTCCTGGGCAGTCAGCAGCAGTGACCCCAGCCCCAGCCCAGCTTGGTCGGGGAGAAGTGGCCAGCCTGTTTGGGGCTGGAGGGACCTGAGCTAGAGCAGAAGGTAAGGGGGGAAGGGGATAGCTGGGGAGAGGTGGAGGGGCAGGTTCTGTGGTCTCTCCTGCACTCCAAGCTGCATATGTGGATCTCCCCCTCTTCATCTTTCTTCTATTTCCTCCCCCTCCTACCCGCCACAGTCTCTCCTGGCTGCAAAGTCCTTCTCCTGCCAAACGATTCATCCCAGCCTGGGGCAGGTAACAACTTGGTTCTGGCTTCAGCCCAGAGCTTGGGGCCAAAGGTAGAGCTGAACTGCTACCTGCTGTAGGCCAGTACTTGCATCTAAAGCAAGATTTTTTTTCCTCTCCATGTTAACTGGGGTGGTAGGAAAGCATCGTCTTGGATTTGAATAAATACAGTATATTGAACAGGTAGCTTTGAGTGTGCCCAGTTGCATGTGCACTAGAAGTCCATTTAAAATGCTAAATGTATGTTCCTCTTTCTCCTGTCTTGATAATAGGAGTTGCTGCTCTTGGAGAATTTCATCTGGATTTACTACTTAATTGCTAGAGAGCTGGTACTTTCAAGTTAGTGGTCAGCGTTTGTTTTTGGTTTTTTTTCAAGCGTCAGGCTAGAAAGACCCATTAGGGTCAGAGGTGGGGGAGTGGAAGTGGGGCACTATGATTTAGATGCTTTTCCCCATCACAGGATGGGGGGGAAGTGTCCATCACTGAAATCTCATCTCAGGTTTGATCCAACGGCTTCGTGGCTTGTAGGTTGCCAACCTTCTTATGCTGCAGACCGGCAAACCATGGACCGAAAGTGGCCGCGGACTGGCAAACTGCAGACCAGCAGTGACCGGCATACTGTGGGCAGACAGCTAACCCTTTTCTATACTCAGTAGAAAAGAGGGTTGGCTGCCAGTCTGCAGTTTGCCAGGGCCCAGGGGTTGGGAACCCCGACCTAAATCATCTGACATTATGGGCAGGGATCCTGGTTTTCCGTGATTTAAAAAAAATGACAAAATCTGTGATTAAAGGCCCCCTCCCAGCCCTGCTGGTGCTCCTCACTTCATTCCTAGCCCCCCAGTTGCCAGGCTGTGGGGCCAGGGACCTGGGTCTGCAACCTGCTGCCCCTGAAAGAAGGCAGTGACTGCTGCAGTGGAGCAGAGCCTGGTTCCCCCTCCCCCTCCACTGCCTGCCATGGGCTCAGGTAGGGTGGTGCCAGCTCTGCGCTACACCGTGCACTCCTGCAAGGCAGAGGGGAACTGTGTCCCTGAGATCTGTGTACGGGGTGGGAGCTAGTGCGCACTTCGGGCTCCTGCCCTGCTGTCTTCCCTTGGGGCCTCTGCAGCTTGGGTGTGACTAGGTGCTGCAGGGCAGAGTGCCACTGCGCAGGAAAGCTGTTTGCAGCTGCAAGCTCTGCGCTGCCCTGGTGATGCATCCCCTGTGTGTGGGCTGCAGTGACAGGCACAACCCCGCACTGCTCCCTGTGTTGCCCCTGCACGTGCTGGGGACATGTCACAAGGGCACCGTGGAGCTCACAGCTGCAAGCAGCTTTCCTGTGTGGCTGCACTCTACCCTGCAGCACCAGATTGCACCTTCTGGGCTGCGGAGTACCCCAGGGAGGGCAGCAGGGAGGGAAGCCCACGCTTGCAGTGCACCCCCACTCTACACTCTTGTCTGGGGGGCACAGGACCCCCCTTTTCCCTGGAAGTGCACGCAGCAGCAGGGAGCCGCCTGATGCCCTGTCCCACTCCTCACTGGGGCCCTGCAGCTGTGCATTGTGGCCCGGTCCCAAGCCCCATGCACTGCTGGGCTGGGCAGCAGCTCCAGCCCTGCCCAACTCCCTCCCTCCCTCCCTCCCTCTCTGTGGGGGCCTCACCCCTGCACTTACTTACAGGAGCTGATCTCTGGGCTGCCTGGGGCCATGTGCATGTACGCACATGGTGCACCCTGCCTGACCACCCTCCTGCTCCCTTCCAGCCCCCTGCAAACTGCAAAATCCGTGGGTTTCTCTGCTCAAATGACAAATCTGCTTTTTACTCCAGAAAGGGGGGAAATCCGCGTTTTACTTTGTTTTCCCGTGGGAAACGGAGAACCTGGATCCCTGGTTATGACACTGTCTGATGTCTCTAGAATGTATATACCAATATGCTTCCTTGGCAACTGACATGAGGCTGGCTTTGATTCAGATCTCTGCCTATTGAATGTTATAGGTTCCTCTTACTTTTTGAACTCTCTAGTATTCAAAATGATCACTTGTTCTTAAGTAGCAGAATCTTTCTCTTCTACCAATATCTGTAATTCTTGAGAGAACAAGGAGGGTGCAAGAAGAAATCATTTATGTCCTTATTTATGGGACATGATCTTTTGGCTTCATTCTCCACTATACTTTCTTAACTTCCACTATTCCTCACTTCAGCTTGGCAAATAAATGGATTAGCTCTTTTCCTTCTTTCCAAACTGCTTCTTACACTTCAAGGTTCACTGTTAGATGCTCTTAAACAATTTTCGGTCTTGTATTGACTAATCTTGCTTGTAACCTGGTATATATAGAAAGTTCAGATCAAAGGTAGGCAAGTGCAGTTCCCAATGAAGGAAAATCAAATCCATGCGCTTTTTTTAACAGACTTTATTAAAACAAACAAACAAAACCCTTTTTATCCAGAAGCTGAAATTTTAAATTACTTTTTCTGTATCTTATTACTCGAGTACAGAATGTGTCCTGCAAATATTTACTAGATGCACTCGTATCGTGTAAAAATGTACTTGATGTGCAGCTGACTATCAGTTTTGACCCTCCCCCCATTTCTTTTGACATGGAAGCAGGAAATCGGTCTCTCTTCTGTCTGTACTGTGTATGGTGATTTAAAAAAAACAAACAAACTTCGAGCTTGAGCTTTCCCAACAAGGTAAACAGGACTGGGAGGCAATGGCCTTTTCCATACATAGCCTAACATACTTTTTTAAGATAAACAGTTTAATCAACACTGAGTTTTCAATAATTGCAATGGTGTGTAATGAAAGAGCTTCAAGCAGCCATGATTTGAATCAAGAAAGACTTTGTAGATCAAAATCAAGACTATGATCTACAACCAGAAGAAAATAGGCTTGTAAAGAAAGTAAATATATTAAGTGTTCTCTGCAGCTAATCCTGTAAAACAGGCAATGGCTTTCTGCAGCAGCTGTAGCTTCCAAGTGGGCCTGAAAGGAAATCACTTGGAGCATATTGTAGTATTATCTGTGCCAGACAGATTTGTCCTGGTTTGCATAAAAGGATGATAGGTAGTCTGTGTCAGCTTCTCATGGAGAAGCTCCTTTTTGGTCTCCAGCAGCCTCAGTGTTGGGGATCCTTGAATGATAAGATACAGAAACATTTACTGACCTGTCAGAAAAATGGTAAATTCACACAAGGCAGACTCTCTGCCATGTTCTAGAAGTTCCCCTGGACAGAACTAGTAGTAGTTTTTAACCTGATTGACCCTTGGACAATTTGAATTAATCCATTTCTGCCATGACAAGGAAAAAGATGGCTCCAGTGTTGGATCCAGATGGAGTGAATTGTTACCAACTGTGCAACCAAGATTTCTCTTATCCTTATTTATTGCATGTGCATAAGAGACGGTGAGGGGAATAAAGTACAATGTCATGGAATTCTCAAAGAGAAGGCCATTGAAGCAAATAGTAATTGCTTATAAAATCACATTGTGGGATCTCTTGAAGTGAGAGAACCCCTGAAATTGTGCTTTTGTTTAACCTGTTAGTCCTGAATAACTCAACAAAACTTGATCTTTTTGCTAGGAGTAGGTTTACTAGCAAAACTTGAGGGTGATTGATATACTAGGTTAAAAGCCAGACTGCTTGTCATCAGGAATTCAGTCCTTCACCCTTGTGGTTATACAGACATGTTGGAGCCTTACCACAACAAGGGAAATTAGCGGGTAGTAAGTAACTAAGAGGCTAGGATCAAATACCATGAAAAGTTCCTGGGAAATACTCTTGCTTAGAGAATCATCTGAGAAGAAATATTGGTCTAAGTACCTTTATTTTAGAGATTAGTGGGAGGGAAAGTTTGTTGGGTTTTTTTTCTTTTGTTTTCTTTTTGTTCTACCTGGCATGTTACAAGCTAATGGTTTTTACTTTACAACTATAAACCTTTAGAGTTGCTGAAGGGGAGCCAGTGGAAGAAGTAGTTCAAGAAATGACGTTAGATGAGTGGAAAAATCTTCAGCAACAGAATCGACCAAAGCCTGAATTCAACATCCGGAAGCCAGAATCCACTGTTCCTTCCAAAGCAGTGGTGATTCACAAGTCAAAATATAGTGATGATGTAAGCATTGCCTTAGGAATTCTCTAAACTTACTTTGGTCCAGGATTAGGAAGCTGGCTTTGTATTAAAAGTAGTGAACGAGATGAACCTGAACAGTTTGGAAATCGGCACTCAAACTTCTACCTGCTATAGTCATGGATGTCAGAAAATCCTGCCTTCGATTCCATCACTGATTTACTGCCTGTCTTCAAGCATCACTTTTGCATTGTATACATGAACACCTGGCATCACGTAAATGTGTATCTAAACTAAGTTTCAGTTCCATTTCATGATTTATTCTTAAAAACAAAATTGGAAGTCAGTCTCCTTGCTGCTGCCACTTGTATATAGTTGTGAGAGCTCCATAATAGACACTAGAGAAACTCACGGTTCACTACGCATCTCTTATGTTTTAACTTTGAGTCACATTTTCAAATACCCATTTAGTTTACTTGTCACTATACTAATGCACATTGCGTGTGTTTTAGAGATTCCATTTCCTAGCATCAGTGTTAGCGCAGGTGCTATAAGTGTCTTGTATTAGGTCACTGTTGCACTGCAACTATTGCTGGAAAACAACAAAACCTGAAGGTTTTCTGGATGTTATGGTCCTGCCTCTTACAAGTAACCCTGAAGAGCTTATTTTATACTATTTTGTTTTTTCTGAACTCTTCTTCTACTTGGTGCCACTATAGTACTTATAACTAAAGTTTAATATGGTGAAATTGTAGCTCTAGTGATGTCATTAGGACAAGACTTTACGTAGACTGCCTAGAGGAGAAGCTTTGTGGTTAGTGAAGTAGTTGTACGTGTTAAATGCCTAGCATGATGGGAGAGCTACAGTCCTTAATTAGGATTCCTATGACATATTGCAGTATGAATTTATTTGAATTATAATTAGGCTGCTGGCATATTCTGGTTATTGTTGGGCTGCCGTGAGCTTCATGCACAGGTTTACTTATGTGGCTTGCTTTTTTAAAAAAACATTTTGTGTGGTTTTAAATTCCCCTGCCCTCCCAAAAACTGTCTAGCAAGAAATTAATTTTCGTGTTCTGGAGAACGTGCCTTAAATTAGATCTACAATAAACTTGAGTGTAGGTTGTGTTTTGTTTGTGTAACTCCTAGATTTTTAGCTGGCAGTGTCGAGGGACACCAGTGAAAATCACAGCTTAGCTGTAGTGGCTTGCCTTGTTTGGTACAGGTATTGCATAAGATGGGCAATGTATCAGACTTCAAGTGCAGGGAATGAGTCGCTGCATTTGAATTGTATACCCGTGTATTACTGGTATGGTGTCAAGGTAGTAATGGAAAATTGAGGGAGTGTTATAATTGTCACAATAGCTGTATTGCAAGGTCAGCACAAAAATGGTCCAACAAAAACAGTGCAGCTTAGCTGTTAACTATTTCTTTCATATAACCTTTCCAACGCTTATTTAGAAGGTATCTTGTAAATAATCCTCTTTATACTAAATGCTTTGATCCCATTTGAAAACTGCCTAGATCTTGCCACTGTGCATTTGCTCAGTGTGAGGGCTTTATGGTCGCTCCGTCCACCCTTTTAATAGCATAACAGTAGCATGGGAAATTGTATTCTTAATTCCAAACAGTTGTAGAGATGAGACAAGTTATAGTTATCTCCCTTCTGCCTCATCCTACACTGAATTATCTGTAGTCAAGAAGTCTGAATGCTTAGTGTGCTGTTTGGTGTGTGGCAAAGCAACTCATTGTAAAACTAGGTAGAAAGCTAATTGGATATATTTGTTATAGATGCAAAAGGAGGATTCTGAGGATGACTCCCACGTTTTCCGGAGAGCAGCTAATGACATAACTTCTCAGCTGGATATTAACTTCGGGAATCTTCCTCGCCCTGGGCGTGGGTCTAGAGGAGCGCGAGGAGGCCGTGGCCGTGGCAGAAGAGTTGAGGATCCAGGCCCTAAACCAGAAGTGGTGGTACTTTTATTTTGTGACTATACATTTTTTTCTTTATACTAGGTGGCTTTTTTTTTCCTAGAGTATTCATGAGCAGGGATCCTAGTTTTCACCATGGAATCCATGTTTTCCTTCAACATGCTAAAAGTGAGGCGGTGCCCTGCAGCAAGCAGTGCTAGTTTTGCGCTTTCTTATTTTTGCTGCGGTTTTTGCCTCTTGGCCAATCAGCAGCAGGCATAAATAAGAGAGCAGAAATTGTGTTGCTCACTTCGGGATACTGCCAGACTTCTGGTAGGTCATGGGAACACGTGGACTTTTGTGTATTTTAAACTGAGATTTTTCCCGCTTTTTTTTCCCCATGGAAAATTAGGATCTCTGCTTGCGAGTCCGCTGATTTGTGATTCTTGATCCATAGTGTGGTTGCAGTATAACCTGATATTTCATTTTCGGGGAGAAATACTAGTAAAGTCAGTATTCAGAGGGTCAAAGTTATGGTCACTCTGCTGAGAAGAGAGGATGCAGGATGGAATAACTGCAACTTTTAAAATTTAACAAACACCTTGTTCTTAAAAACAAATGAAACAAACAGCCCCCCAAGTTTAGTTAACTTATGGAGTCAGGTGCATGCTTAGATGTAGGAGGCATGTTTGCCACTTGTATAAACAGAATATCATATTTGGTAGACTATCAAAATGGAAATGATTTAACCACTAAATATCATATTTCTTATTACTTTGCATTGAGGCATTGTCCCTGCTTTAAAATACTTATAACTTTCAGGAGTATTCTTTTCTTAGTGCTTGCATTTTTTGTATCTTGCACAAAAGGTATGTGAATGAAAACTAGGCCTGCAATGTACTGTTTTGGTTCCCCTGCCTCCCCTAATCTTCCTTTTCTTCTTTTTGTAGACACAAATTGCTGCTCCAAATCCTGATGATCCTGAGGATTTTCCTGCTTTAGCTTGAAAGAACTGTCTTGACCAGTTTTGGCGTAGCTGTGAAGAGACCAGTTTTACATTGCTGTGGGAAAGGATTGTCTGAGTCTACAGGAAATTTCCCCCCCTCTTCCCTCCTCCCCCACCTTGTGTGAAACTATTACACTCCCATGCTATTGAGAACAATGACCTTGTGACACTAAAGGACAGGGATCTTGCTACTGATTCCAGCATCTGCCTCTCTTTGAGATAACTGTGTGAAGGTTTTATGGTATTATACTCGAGGGATTTCAAATAAAAGTTCAACAGTACAGTGTTTAAAATGTGTATATAGAGATTATATTGAGGGGTTGTCTTTTTTTTTTTTTCTTGAAAGCACAGTGAAATGTAAGTTGTACAACATGGTCTACGATTGGGACTCTATAGCAAACCCTCTATAGGGACTTGAAAGCTGCTTTCCTTACTTCATTGAGTGAAATGTACCTTTGCATATTTTAAGCAGTTAATACACGGCAATTTTCGGAAGTTGGCAAATAAAGGAAACTGCTCATTGGTTTGGATGTAGATTCTTTTCCTAGATCTCCACAGTGAATCATGGGTTCTGCTGCTTGACTAATCTGGAAAACTGTATTTGCTTATGGTTTCAGCTAAAGCTTAATGTCTCAACCACAACAGTTTATTTTTTGTCCACAGTCTCAAAGCTAGGGACAGAAGTTACACGTACACTGGTTTAAGTCGGCAGAAACTGGTTTAAACCTGTAACAGAACAGAAGCTCAGTCACAAACCAGTTTCAAAGTGGTTGAAACTGGTTTAAGATAAATTTAGTTGAATGTAATAGCAAACTTAACTGAGTTAGGTCAAATGGGTTTATGAAACTTCTGTCCTAGAACCCTTAAACCAGAGTCCCCCAGCATAGGCTGTGTGTTCACTACTTCTTCCTACTGCCCCCTGAGGTCTCTGGGACTTACAGTCCAGACCCACAGCAACGAGACTCTGCAGGGTTGCTCATCACTTCCTCTTCCTGCTTCCAGGTGCTTCTGGGATTTGTAGTCCATGATCACAGCCAGCAGGACTCCATAGTGTTGTTCCCTTCTGTTCAATACATGCTTGCTTCAGAGAGAGGACTATTGTTCACGCTTTTATGAATTCAATGCCACTACCTTTCCCCACCCACCCCTTCTCAGCCTGGCCGACACTTTCCCCCTCCCCCTATCCAGCTAGCTCTGGGCTGGGACTTTGCCCTACCCCCTCCACTTGAGCAGGGAAGGGGGAGAAGCCTTGGAGCTGACAGGCTGGGAGGTGTGCTCTAGTGCCTGCCCAGCTTCTTTCTTGAGCCACTGAAAGCATATGCCTGCTTTTTCTGAATCAAAAGTGAATGTTCACTTACAAATTGGTTCAGTCTCTATACCTAACCTGCAAAAACTGAACTGATTCAGCCTTGGGCTTTTTGACTGTCTGTACTAAGCCAAAATGACTGGAGAGGTTATTTAATTTAAAACTGACTTCTGAGGCAAAGCATGGGCTCTTCCTCAGTTGCACAAAATAACTCGGCCTCAAGTGAACTTTTTTTAGAGTAATTGAAGAGAAGTGTCCTGTTTTTTCCCTTTTGCTCTAAAATGATTGCTTGATGCAACTTCCTACTTCTACAGTTGCCCCCTCTAAGGTAAATGAAAAGGTCTTGGTACCAAGTGTCCTGCCTTTATCTTGGAAGTTGAGTGGAGGGGCTGAGACAAGATGGGGCTTTTGATGTTTAGGCTTGGAGATTTTGGCAGAGCTGTTGGAGTTGGGTGGACATTAGGTGACCCCGGCTCTTTCTAAAGGAGCACTACCTGTTTCCCTCAGAACCATCCCAAAGGTTGCAAGAGCAACTCCTGTGATTCAAGGTAGCTCAAGTACGTGACTAGAATGAATGGCTTGGATGCTGTTCCTCCAAGAGCAATTTTGTGAGTGAAGCTTAGATGCAGAATAAGGGAGAACAACTGTTCTGAACAGCCTCCTGGGAGGAAGGCTTTTTTTTTTTTTTTTAAACCCCCCTCACAGAGGGAGGGAAGAACCCTTTTAAGAACACATTTGTCTTTTTAAATGCCCTTCTGGGCAGGGGCTACCTCTTGTAAGGGTGAAAACAGAAATTCTGACAGAAGACCTCAAAATCCTATCTGCCCGTGGGTTTTTAAGTAATATTTGCTTTTTTATCAGTGCTGCTGCAGACCTGACTAGCTTCTGCCCTTACAGCACAGGAAAGGAAACATTGGGTGATATATATTCTTGGGAGCGAAACTTGTCTCTCAGGGTATGCAGCAGCTCTGCCTGCCTTCTCACCAGAAGGGAAGGAGGGGATAAGCCAGTGTCTTAAAGGGGGGTCCCCCCTCCCCTTGCAGTAGGTGTTGAAATGAAGTCATCCTAAATCTGTCAACAAACTTTAATTGCTGCAGTAGTGGAAGCTGTTTTAATAGGAGATAGCAGTATTATGTTTTAACTTGGGATAGAAGAGGTCACAGTGTTCTCATTTTCAAGGTAACCAAGCAGGCGGACTATATGTATAGTAGGAACCTAGTTAGGAGACAGAAGCTAAAACCTTGCTTTATAACGTGAGCTTGCTTCTAGACACCTGAAATAATATTCTGCTTGGTTATCATGGTTGAAAGCAACCAAGCTGGTAATAGGCTTCGTTATGAACACTTGGGACAGCTCCTGCCTCCTACATCAACCTTGCCTTTCCTTCTAGCAACTGTTTTTTAGGGCTTTTTTTTTTTCCTGAGATGAGTTATCCAGCCTAAGCACTAGTAAAGAAATTGGCTGATAAACCAATTTCAACCTTCCTTTTGCTAAAATCTGCAAATTGAAGACCCGCCTATTGTGAAACTAAAAGTAATAATCCTCATGTGTTGACTAGCACTTGCATACTGTGCCTTATGCCCATTTTAAGACTTAACTTGCTTCAGAAGCTATATCAGCAAAGCTTTATTTTCCCAATTTGTGCTCAACAATTTAAACTTTGCCAATAACTGCAGATACCTCTGGTAAAAGCCATCCAGGACTTCTATTTTTGGAATGGCAAGTTTTGTTTAAAAAAAACCCAAAAAACTAAAAAATATTCACCTCAGATGGGTTTTATCTTTCCTGTTACTGGTAGAAACTGGGAGCATGGGCCAAGGCTGAGTACATAAATGCCCCTTATGACATAAAATTGGAGCCCTGCATTTTGAAGTCAAACCTGAAACTTATGATATGCAGCAGCTGTTTGCATTCTCATCTTGTTTCCACTTGTTCATAGTTTTGACATTTTTACTGGCAAGCCACATTTTTTTAGGTTTCCCTGTCCTTGGAGGTAAGGGTGTGATTTTTTGAGAGGGTTTTGGGGGGAGGGAGGAAGGGGGAGGAAGGGGGAGACATTGAGCAAATGCCTTTGAGTCCAGGTGCAGAATGCACTTTTCTGAATCCCACCATTCTGTGGATGGGGCTGTAAAACCTCCCCAACTTTCCAGGTAACAAAATGTGACCCTAGTCACCAGAGGATTCCATAGTGCTTTTCATTTAATTGGAATCTGTTCTGTTCTTTGGATAATTATATTTTGGTTTCCTAGTTCCTGTCTTTCCTTTAATTTTTAGAAGTTTTCTGCACTTCACCATGTCTAGAGTTCATGCTAGAAGACCTGCAACAGGTACTGTAGGTAACTAAGCAGTTATGACCCCAGCTAATCTGGCCAGAAGGTTCAGTGTTACTTTTTATAAAGAATAATTCTTCTGCACTGTCCATTGCCAGAAAAGATGTACCTTTAAAGGAACAGGATTAGATGTGATCAACTCCATTAAAATAAGACCCCTTTTTGTATTCGAGGCATGCAGGATGTATGCTACATGCTGTGAGTAGGGAATTAATTAGGATTTAAGAGACTCTTCAAGCCATGATCATTTAAAAAAAAGACTTGAAATAAGTATAGTTTTGCTGAGGACTTGGGCTTTTCCTGCCCAGGGTAAATGCTTTGGGATTCAAAAGTCCCAATTATGGAAATTGGGCAGGGGGAAAATGGGATGATAAAACCTGTCAGCCTCTAGTCCTGCTCATGTTATTCTTCTCTTCAAGCATGAGAGTAGAAAGTACTTTGAAGGAAGTGTTTCCACTCAGGAGGAGGAATACCCCAGGGGAA